TTGGGAGAATTAATTAATGACTGTAGAAGCGTTTGACCACGTAAAGCAATACACAAGGGCTAAGTATTACTAAGCAGTGCAGTGAAGCAATATAGGATTTTTGGAACAAAGTAAAAGAAAAGGGCATTAACCATCCTACTCTAATTACAGTAGCTACATATCATTATACTTACCTTCATTATTTAATTTCCAGAACAAGACCATTTAACACTTACAAATATTTATCGTTCATCTCAGTCTTCTTCCAAAATCTTACCCAGTATGAACAGGTATTTTCTAGAGAAGAGTTCTGTTCATTGTTAGGAGTATTATTTATTCCAGTGCATCCGAGCTAGAAGAGCAGAAGGACATTCTCTCTGGAAGTCTCTTGCACTTCATTAAGCCTATTGACTGAGTGGCTCAAAGTTGGTCATTTTGCATTTTCACTTGAACTCTCAGATCAGCCTCTTTCAGATTATAGAGAATAGGACACTGCACTTCTAAGACCCTTTTCACCCAAGGATTTCAAGACACTTTACAAATATTAATGAAATCCTACTGAACAAAATACTTAACTACCCAAATTGTGCCAATCTTATTTGTTTGATACTCTCAGCCTTTCGTCTGTTCTTGTGTCTTTTAGATTGTAAACACTTGGATAGGGAGTTTCTCTGTGTTTGTATAGCATGCAGCATAATAGACTCAATCCTGACTGCAGCCTTTGGGTGCTACTGTAACAAGAGTTTAATAAATGCTTTTATATATAATATAATAAATTGCCATTGCTTCTTAGCTGAAATGGCCAACAAGGATACCAAATGCAGTGGTTTCTGAAATAGACACGTGTCCACTATGAACTAGATTGAGGCCATTAATTTCACATAGGTAACCAAACAGACATCAGATGCCAAAGATTTGAGTCACTATCTACTGCTCATGATCTAGAGACCTACAGCAGCAAGACTTTCTCTCATTACCATAAGTCATTCTAGTAAAACTAGTGTGTCTGTGTCCTCTATATGCCTCCTTCTGACTGTCCAAGCTATTGGCTTATTTCTCAAATAGAAATAGATTTATACAGCAACAGTGAGCATTAGAACAATCTTTGGCTGAAATGGACATCCACTCACTATTGCTTGCAAATCAAGGACAGTACCCCTCCTCCAACAAATATTGGCCTCAGATTTCACATTACATGACAACTTTCTGTAACCCACAGTGTACACTTAGCCCAAAGGTGCACTCTGCCTGACCATTACTGTAGTAGTGTTGTATAGAACTGTTCATCTTAGGAAAGAGATTACTAAGGAGGGATATGATCGAGAGCTATAAAATCCATTAATGATGTGAAGTAAGTGTTATTTATTTATCCCTTCACATAGCACAAGAACCAAAGGTCACCCAAAGAAATCAACAGGCAGCACATTTAAAACAAACAAAAGGAAGTACTTCATCACACAACAGTCAACTTGTGGAACTTCTTGTCATGTGATTTTGTGAAGGCCAAAGCATAACTGGGTTCAAAAAAGAATTAGATAAGTTCATAGAGGATAGGACCCTCAATGGCTATTAGCCAACATGGTCAAGGCCATAACCCCATGCTCTGGGTGTCCCTAAACCTCCAACTGCCAGAAGCTGAGACCACACAACAGAGGATGGATAAACGGTTACCCACCTTTTTGTAACTGTTGTTCTTCAACATGTGTTGCTCACGTCCTTTCCATTGTAGGTGTACGTGCACCCACGACGCAGCTGGAGACTTTTGCCTTAGCAGTACCCATAGGGCCGGCTGTGGTGCCCTCTGGAGTGCCGCACTGGTATATCAGGTGCCGCCGGCCCTGTGCCCTCTCGGTTCCTTCTTGCCAACAACTCCGACAGAGGGGCAGGAGGGCGGGTAATGAAATGGACATGAGGAACACATCTCGAAGAACAACAGTTACAAAAAGGTGGGTAACCGTTTTTTCTTCTTCGAGTGCTTGCTCATGTCAATTCCATTGTAGGTGACTCACAAGCAGAATCCACGGGGTGGGCTCGGAGTTCACAGTCTTGCAGATTGGAGTACTGCTCTGCCGAAACCAGCACCAGCCTGAGCCTGCTGGGTCAGCGCATATAGCGTGAAGCAAGCGTGTGGATGGACAACTAAGTTGCATCACGGCAAATTTCCTGGATCGGCACCTGAGCGAGGAAGGCCGCCAATGACGCTTGCGCCCTAGTCAAATGGGCCGCCACAATCACTGGCGGGGGCACCTTCGCCAGCTCATAGCAGTAGCGGATGCAGGCCGTGATCTAGGATTAGATTCTCTGGGTAGACACTGGGCAACCCTTCATCTGATCTGCGACAGCAACAAACAGTTGCACAGACTTATGGAATGGTTTCGTCCTCTCTCTGTAGAAGGCCAGTGCCCGCCTGACATCCAGGGTTTGCAGCCTGCGTTCCTCATCTGTAGCATGAGACTTTGGGCAGAGGACCAGAAGATAGATGTCCTGACCAGTATGGAACTGAGAGACGTCCTTGGGCAGAAAAGCCGGGTATGGACGCAGCTGGACCTTGTCCTTATAGAAGATCATGTAAGGGGGCTCTGACGTGAGCGCCCTGATCTTGGACACCCTATGGGCCAAAGTTATAGTGACCAAAAAGGAAACCTTCCAGGAGAGAAGCAGAAGGGAGCAGGAAGCCTGGGGCTCAAATGGGGGTCCCATGAGCCTGGACAGCACAAGGTTCAGGTCCCAAGGAGGGACTGGGTTCTGGGCATGCAGGTAAAGACATTCCAGACCTTTCAGGAACCGCGCTATCACAAGATGGGCGAATAGTGACCTGCCCTGAAACAGAGGATGGAAAGCCAAAATGGCCACCAAGTGCCTCTTGACTGAAGACAGCAACAGGCTCTGGAGCTTCAGGTGTATTAGTCCAGTCCTGCAGGGGGCCCTCTTCCGCCCGGATGTGGCGATCCGAGGCCCAACACGTGAACTGCTTTCATTTTGTTACGTAGGTAGCCCTGGCGGAAGGCTTCCTGCTGCACAGCAGGACCTGCTGGATACCAGTGGAACTCTGCCGTTCCTCCCCACTCAGCCATGCAGAAACCAGGCTGTCAGGTGCAGCGCTGCCAGGTTCGGATGCAGCAGGTTCCCGTGGTTCCGGGACAGCAGCGCCAGCTGAAGAGGCAGCTGCAATGGGGTGGCTGCTGAAAGACTCAGCACCTGGTGAACCAGTGCTGATGAGGCCATGCTGAGGCTACAAGGATGACAGTTGCTTTGTCTTGCTTCACCTTGAGCAGGACTCTGTGGATTAGTGGCATTGGTGGGAAGGCGTACATGAGCACTCCCAACCACGGGATCAGGAATGGTGTTCGACAGGGAGCCCTTGTCCCTGCCCAGCAGAGAACAGAACACGTGGGACTTCCTGTTTGTCTGGATGCAAACAGCTCCACCTGGGGAGTCCCCCACCTGTGGAAAACTAGGCTGACCACCTCCGGATGGAGCAACCATTTGTGGTGAGATGAGAAGGTCCTCCTGAGGCAATTCGCCAGGACGTTTTTGGCAGCAGGCAGGTGGGCGGCCACCAAATGAATGGCGTGCCGCACACAAAAATCCCAGAGGCTGAGCGCTTCCCGACAGAGGGCTGAAGACCTGGTGCCGCCTTGCCTGTTGATGTAGTACATTGCAGCTGTACTGTCCATCAGGACCTGCACACCTTGCCTACGAGGTGGGGCAAGAAAGCCTGGCATGCTAGGCAAACCCTCTGAGCTCCCTGAATTGATATGAAGGGCTAGGTCATGTTGCAGCCAATGGCCCTGGGTGTTGAGCTCGCCCCGATGGGTACTTAACATAGGAAAGGGGTTCTCAAACTGGGGGGTGATCGTGAGGTTATTACATGGGGGGTCGTGAGCTGTCAGCCTCCGCCGCAAACCCCGCTTCACTTCCAGCATTTATAACAGTGTCAAATATATATTTAAAAAAGTGTTTTAATTTATAAAAGGGAGGGGGGAAATCGCACTTAGAGGCTTGCTGTGTGTCACCAACACAAAAGTTTGAGAACCACTGACATGTGACCATATTTCCCTATAGTGAATACGGGACACCTGGTAAAATTAGTCGTATTCAAGCAAGTTCAACAGCATTCAATCAGAACTATGCAGTACAAATGTTCAAATTAACATCAAGTTGACTGAGCCCCTGTTAAAAAGAAATACTGCATAGTTGCATTCTTTTTATTTACCTTCTTATCAAAAGTTATCTTTTGCACTGAAAGTTTCCACGCTGGATTTTCAGCTAGATGATTTTTGATACGTGTAAACAAAATACCTTCATCCATTTTATGCATCAAGGTTGTAACACAGACACTTTGCCACTATATTAAGCACCCATCCTCCCCACTGCTGCCCATACTGTACACACAGGAAATAAAAAACAGTTGGACTTTGACATCTCAAACTTGTTATTTAAATAAACAGTATTATAAAAGTTGTTTTGGTTATTATGTGACAATGCTATGCCACCTAGTACAGTGGATCTCATACTAAGCTCCATATGCCCTTATGACTGGCTGTAGAATGAGACACAAAGGACCAAGCAATGGAGGGTTATGAGGGGAGAGAGGGAGATCCTCTGTCATAGACCTTTTACAAAGTGGTCTGCAGAATGAACTGCAGAACAGCACACAACAGCAAAAAGCAGGCTCAGAAATGCTTACAAAAGGAGAACTCTTCAAGCCAGGGACACATTGTCTTCCAGGGTTTGGCAAGTGTCTAGCACATTTTTGGAACTACCACAATAAAACAAATTCTTCCACCACCAGAAAGATGATCTATAGGTCTTGCTCCAAGTCTGAAATAGTAGGGAGTTCAAATGGCTCCGAGTGAGATAAGGAGTTGTACTTACTGATTTTTGCATTTTTTCTGTACACAGAGACAAAAGTTTGCATTACGTTTTTATTGGTCTTCACAGCTATGTAAGACTGGTGACATCTGTCGCCACACGCACAGGATATTTATCAAAAATAATATTACAAATCTGCAGCCGTCTCCTTTTAAAATAATTTATTTTACGGATTTATTTTTAAATGGTACTGTCATATAACATACATTATTCAACAAAGGTGTGCTGAGCAGACGCTAAAAGAAGAAACTCAAATTATGCAATTATCTCAGATTAGAATTTCAAATGTTCACCCAAACCCTAACTTGTAAACTTTTGCTGGAATACACTTTTGTTGTAGGCTTGATCTTTGTGCTTACAAAAACTGCATTAAGTTTCCAAATGTTGTAGAGGAAAAAATAATTAATTGTATAGTAAGTATGCATTCAGTTTCAACATACAAGGCAACCAAATGATTCTGTCATTAACATTACCATCATGTATATTTTAGTTCACTGCACTAACATTTAAACTAAAACTTCAAACCACAAAATCTTTAAGTGACTAACATTTAAAAGGCAAGCTGTAATATACTTAAAGCTTACAAAGGACATTAGTACACAGCTAAGATGGGGTATCATTTGACAAAGGCGGATGATGTGTATATGGCTGCTTTTTCTTATAAGAAGCCCATCTACAAACTGGGCAGCAATGTCGCCCCCCAGCTAACCACATCACGATGCAATTCTGATGAAACACATGACCACATGGTAAACCCATTAGCAGACATCCATTTTCAAAATTCTCTAGACACACAACACATTCTGTACAGTGCAACATATTAGAGGGCCAGGCTGACCAATCTGGTTCCATGTCTTCTGTAGTGCTATATGATCCATACGACCTCGCTTTCCTTTCATATGGCTCGTTATGACCATTTTTATTGGCACATGAACAGATCTCAGCATTGCACTGAGGCTCTCCTTCACTGGGACTGTGAACTGTACTTAGCTCATCCTCGGATACTTCTTTTTCACCACTCAAGACATCTTTGCTTTCACTGTCTGAGTCACTTTCACTTTCTTGAGAGGCTTCCAACACTTCCTCTTCAGAATGGATGCCAAGACATTTAAACCGCCACATTGGTAAACTTTTTATATAATCAGTTGGTATCAGAGGGTGAAGCCATAAATCAGGGAACGCTAATCGCTCTAAGAACAAATCTGGGTCTTCGTCCCAATCGGATTCATAGGGGAAGTGTTGAAAAGAAGCGATTGGGTGGAACAAGTAGCTGGTGTACCAGTCCCACAGACTTGACAGCCATTCCAAGTTATTGGCATTTATTTCATCATTGTTGTTCCGTCGTCTTTTTTTCTCAAAGTAATCTACTAGTAAGCCATGACCCAGGTAAGTGCTGAGGAATAGGGCTGGGTGTGATGAGTAGAACATCCAGTCAGCTCTCACCCACGAAGCCAAAGTAGTTGTATTAGAATACCTGAAGAGTTTTAAACTATACTCATAAAAGCTATCTAAGTAAGGTAACTGCAAAAAGCCCAACACAGGTAGCCAAGAAATAATTAAGAGAGAATTATACGTCCCTAAAGTGCTTATAAGAACCACAAAACGCTTTATAGTAGCACCTTGTGTGATAAATAGGTCCATCCAAGCCATCAGATTAACCAATACTAAGCTTAAAACAAATAAATCATTAACTTCAGGTTGTATTGAGCGCAAGAAGGAATCCATGGCTCGTAGGGATATAAATTCACCAGTCTTATTCCCATACCTGTAAATTCCCTCTGGAGTTCTAAGTATGTAGGATGGGGTCTTAAAGATACCAATCTCCGCCATATGACTCTTGTTGTCCCAGTTTTCTACATTCACAAAAATAAACTCAACTCTTCCAGTAAACTTTACACTTAGTGCAGAGAAGAAAGCTGGAGGCTGGTCAAGGTTAGCAAACAGGTATATTTTCACCCGATACTGGTCACTTTTGTTCCATTCTTCTTTTAAATGTTCAGAGTTGTAGATAGTTTTGATCCGAGAAGCTGCATGGGCTGTTATCCACTTGAAAATGTGCTCAGCTTCAATTTTGCGTCCACTGTATTCTTTAAGCATCACTTTCCCCTTGGAGGTACTGGTTTGTGGGACTGACATAATTAGTGTGGATCTCACCCAGCCTCTTCTCCTGCAGTATCTGCAAAGAAAATAGTGGATAAGACTATGGAGTTTTATATTTCTAGGACAGCAGTCCTTAAATTTTGAATGCAAGTCTGATGATTATCAGAGGCGCTGAGCACCTGCACACAGCGAAATAAATGGGAGGTGTGTGCCCTCAACACCCATGGAAACCTTTCCCCACTCCCAGAACCTGCTGTTATAATTCTTCTACTTTCCTACATACTTCACAAGGGTCCTGTGGGGTCTTGAGAAGATGCGTAAAGCACTGTTTATGAGGAAAGTGCTAAATAAGGGTTTATTATAAGTAATAAAGTTATGTATCACTGATATTGAAGTTCTTATAGTAAAACTTGAAAAAAAAACGTGCTCACTTTCGAGAGGTAAGTAGAAAGCGTTAATTTTAGAAGTGATTAAGTTCCTAGGCCTTCCAGTTGTAGAGATAACCTTTACAATGTAAACAGATGCAGTCCTGCTTTCTTGACTCTGCAAACTAACCTCCCGGGTGCTTCTGTTGTTATTCATAGCTTTGTCAAGCAGTAGCAGAGTGAAGTTAGTCTGTTTCACTGCTGCTTTGAAGAGAGAAGAATCATGTAATTTCACTCTTTGGCTTCTTGGCAAAGCTATGAGCCACAGAGGCAGGTACTGAAGCTATTCAGTGGGGTGGAAGACATAAAAAGAAGCACTGTTAAGGGAAAAGGAACAGAGGCATTCTGCCAGGAGGTTCTGGACTGAAGTTCTACAAGAGAAAGCTTCTCTGCTTCCCAGCTGGCTGAAGGAAGGGAAGAGAGACTGACTTCAAACAAACACCTACTAGCCCAAGTTTGATAAAGACTAAGCTCCCAAGAGGGTCCACAGACAACTCCCTGGCAGATTTCCAAGAATCTTTTCTAATTCCAGCAACTACGGGGCTGGGCTGGTCAGCCAGGTGTTGTTCCTGGAACTCACTAGTGACCTCTTCCCCCACAAACCTTTTGTATCAGCCTAAGACTAATCCGTTTAGTTAGCAGGTGTCTGATAAATTTTTCAGGACATCTTAAAAAACCAGTAACAACTATAAACACAGCCATCTACCTCTCTTTCCAAGCCTGACAAACAAGTTCTGCAAAGGAATAAAAGCAGGAAGATTAGCTCACCATCCAAATAATCTATTCCCTTTCTATCTGTAGTCGTAGTTTTGAGCAATTATTTTTAAATTCCCCATATAAAAAAATTAATTGCTGCCACCACAAAAAGAAGTTAACATTAATTTTTTGAAAGGGCCACAAGATATTATGCCAATAGCAAAAGAATCTTAACGGATTATGATGATGCTGGTGCTCTAGTGGGAGTTTCAACTGTTGTCTGATGAAAATTATTCATGAGCATTTATTCAGCAAGACAAAAAAGTCTAAAATACAATGTTATTTTTAAATAAAATCTAACTTAAAGAAACAAAACTAATATTTGATCACAATGTGAAGACTAGTCAGAAATTACGTACACAACTAGTTTCAGAGTAGCAGCCGTGTTAGTCTGTATCCGCAAAAAGAACAGGAGTACTTGTGGCACCT